AACAACAGTTGAATGGGAAGTTTTCATGCTTGTAAACTGTTTAATAAATGTAACCAAAGCCGTCAAAGATTGAGGAAAGATGTACACGTTCGTAAGTGCTTGCGTAAGTTCTTTCGTGAATCTGGCCCCAGGCCCCATCTTCCTCCTCCAACTGTTGCTCCGGAGGCTACAGTGACATGGAGGGTAAGAGTGTAAGAGGGAGGGAGGGTGTGAGTGTAGAGGGTGACACAGTAGACAAAGAACACGACAAACAACGTGTAAACACAAGACAAACCATTCCTAGAGTACATAAATTTGCTTCACTAAGCTAAACAAAGAACATTGAGACCCTAAACAGTATTCAAACCAATAGTGAAAGTTCACCAATTGTGTAAATGGTCATTTGACAGGTGAAACACACGGCAAATGTTTGGCTAGCAAGGGAGCCTCAAGCCGGGGCTCGCTGGGGGAGTGATGGGGGTTGTCTGGGGTTTATGGGTGGGGCAAAGAGAGGGGGGGGTTGTCTGGGGTTTATGGGTGGGGCAAAGAGAGGGGGGGGTTGTCTGGGGTTTAAGGTGGGGGTAAAGAGAGGGGGGGTTGTCTGGGGTTTAGGGTGGGGCAAAGAGAGGGGGGTTGTCTGGGGTTTAGGGTGGGGGTAAAGAGAGGGGGGGGTTGTCTGGGGTTTAAGGTGGGGGTAAAGAGAGGGGGGGTTGTCTGGGGTTTAAGGTGGGGGTAAAGAGAGGGGGGGGTTGTCTGGGGTTTAGGGTGGGGCAAAGAGAGGGGGGGGTTGTCTGGGGTTTAGGGTGGGGGTAAAGAGAGGGGGGGTTGTCTGGGGTTTAGGGTGGGGCAAAGAGAGGGGGGGTTGTCTGGGGTTTAGGGTGGGGGTAAAGAGAGGGGGGGGTTGTCTGGGGTTTAGGGTGGGGCAAAGAGAGGGGGGGGTTGTCTGGGGTTTAGGGTGGGGGTGTCTGGGAGGATGCTCCACAGGGTATATATTTATCTACACTGGGGATATATGGAGATGGATGGTGTCTGTGTGTTAGACCACCCGGCACGAACCACGAACACCAGAGTTCATTGATTCGTAAGTTTAGACGCGTCTAGGGTGAGGAGTTGACGCGTCTAGGGTGAGGAGTTGACGCGTCTAGGGTGAGGAGTTGAGGCGTCTAGGGTGAGGAGTTGAGGCGTCTAGGGTGAGGAGTTGAGGCGTCTAGGGTGAGGAGTGGAGGCGTCTAAGGGTGAGGAGTGGAGGCGTCTAGGATGAGGAGTGGAGGCGTCTAAGGGTGAGGAGTGGAGGCGTCTAAGGGTGAGGAGTGGAGGCGTCTAAGGGTGAGGAGTGGAGGCGTCTAAGGGTGAGGAGGAGTGGAGGAGATACATCGTGGCCACACAAACATCTTGGAGTAATTAAGGAAGGGAGGTTAATTCTGAACTAATGCTGGAGAATGTCTTAACTACCGACTTGGGAAGAGATGTACGTGGGTTGTATACAAGTTGTAATGAAGTAAACTGTATTTAAACAACTAGTTATAAGAGCGTGTGACGTAGTGGTGCCGTGACCTTGAGTGAGACTGTCTCCTCTTCGCCAGTCTTGGGGACCAAGCTCTTATAAGAGCGTGTGACGTAGTGGTGCCGTGACCTTGAGTGAGACTGTCTCCTCTTCGCCAGTCTTGGGGACCAAGCTCTTATAAGAGCGTGTGACGTAGTGGTGCCGTGACCTTGAGTGAGACTGTCTCCTCTTCGCCAGTCTTGGGGACCAAGCTCTTCATTCCTAGAATTTTCATTCAAATAAATGTATTTCCTTCATCACAATTATTTATCAGGCGATAAGAACTAATTTCCTGTTGATTCCGGCCAATTAATAATTAGCAGCGGACCACAACTGATAAGCTAATTCAAAGATGCAAATTAATCCCCCACACACAACTTCAGCAGTCATGTGTACTGCTGCCGTCAGCTGATGGAAACTCCTACAGAAGCTGACCTTTTACCATGACCAAATACATAATAGCGAGTGTTGATATGTTTATCAGATACCAAGACCATTCTGCTAGGCTTATCGAATTGTTTACCTCGCGGGAAAATTGGAAATACTGCATTTATAACTTAATCATCTAAAATTCAGTCGTTGTGCCAGCCCTAAATATTGTCGTAAAATTGTGTTTGTGGGGATGTTTAACAACTTGTAACACACACAAGGGGTATGATGATGAATCGAGAAAAAAATGGGGGAGAGGGGGCGCCAGCTTAGTTGATAAGCTCCATGATTCACCAATACTTATGACGATTGTTGGTGAAGTGGTTACGGTACTCTATTTGCTAGGGGGGGTGATCCAGGGCAAAGGGGGTTCGAATCCTTCTCGTGTCATAGACGTATTTATGCGTGTATATATTTATACACACATAAATACATACATACATATTATAATAATAATATACACACACTAACCTAATTTCCCCAAGAAAATATTCATACATTTTAATAAAAATTCAATTATATAATAGCCGTTTCTTCGTAAATATTTATACAGTAGCTTCCTTCCTTTAAAAACTAGATTTATACTCTCTCCTTCTCCCCAAAGTTATTCACCAGTCCTATTCAAAGTTAAATTCAATTTTGATTACAGCTGTGTATAGGTGTTCCCAAGCTGTACTCACCTAGTTGTGCTTGCGGGGGTTGAGCTCTGGCTTTTTGGTCCCGCCTCTCAACTCTTAATCAACTGGTGTACAGATTCTTGAGCCAATTGGGCTCTATCATATCTACATTTGAAACTGTGTATGGAGTCAGCCTCCACCACATCACTGCCTAATGCATTCCATTTATTAACTACTCTGACACTGAAAAAATTCTTTCTAACGTCTCTGTGGTTCATCTGGGTGCTAAGTTTCCACCTGTGTCCCCTTGTTCGTGTTCCACCCGTGCTGAAGAGTTTGTCTTTGTCCACCCCTGTCAATTCCCCTGAGAATTTTGTAGGTGGTTATCATGTCTCCCTTACTCTTCTGTTTACCAGGGACGTGAGGTTCAACTCCTTTAGCCTTTCTTCGTAGCTCATTCCTCTCAGTTCCGGGACGAGTCGGTGCCATACGGCTGAATCTTCTATAATTTTGTCTTGTGTTTAACTAGGTATGGACTCCAGGCAGGAGCTGCATATTCCAGGATTGGTCTGACATAAGTGGTATTTAGGGTCCAAAACGACTCCTTACAGAAGTTTCTAAAGGCAGTTCTTATGTTAGCCAGTCTAGCATATGCCGCTGATGATATCCTTTTGATGTGGGCCTCTGGAGACAGGTTCGGTGTGATATCAACCCCCAGATCTTTCTCTCTATTTGACTCTTGCAGGATATCACCTCCCAGATGGTACCTTGTGTTCAGCCTTCTGCTTCCTTCGCCTAATTTCATTACTTTACACTTTCCTGAGTTGAACCTTAGCAGCCATTTTCTAGACCATTCCTCCAGTTTGTCCAGGTCGCCCTGTAGTCTCTCTCTATCTTCATGTATCTTGATTCTTCTCATAATTTTTGCATCATCAGCAAACAATGAGAGGAATGAGTCTTTACCCTATGAAAGATCGTTTACATATATTAGAAACAGGATGGGTCCAAGTACAGAGCCCCGTGGGACTTCACTGGTGACATCTCACCTCTCTGATGTCTCTCCCCTCACAGTTACTCGCTGTTTCCTGTTGCTTAGGTACTCCTTTATCCACTGGAGCACCTTACCTTTTACTCCTGCCTGTTGCTCCAACTTTTGTAACTGCCTTTTATGGGGTACATTAAAGGCTTTCTGACAGTCCAAGAAAATACAGTCTGCCCACTCTTCTCTTTCTTACCTAATTTGTGTTGCTTGGTCATAAAATTATATTAAGTCAGTGAGGCACGATTTACCATCTCTGAACCCATGCTGGTGGTGTTACAAAGCTATTTCCCTTCAGATGCTCTACGAGCCTTTTCTTCAGTTGTGTGTCATACGTTATGCTACAGGTGTGTACAGGTGTGGGTGTAGGTCATATAGTATTATAAATTCACTTGTAACATTAGAATATTAACTTACATTAACTTAATATCAACGTAATATTAAACATTAACATATCAACTTGATGGCGGCCTTATACCCGGTTCTTCACAAACTTTACATCATGGTTTATAGCATTTTTTTGTTTGTTTACTTTTATTAAGTAGCTATAAGTTATTTACAGTTATTTGGTTATCTCTTATTTTTGTTTCACAGTGTAAATATAATTAGTTTAACATCTTTGTTTGGCTCTTATAGACTTGCTTTTGTTTTCCACATTTTCCACGTCTTTTTCTCTCATTCTCTCTCTTCCTCTCTCTCATTCTCTCTCTTCCTCTCTCTCATTCTCTCTCTTCCTCTCTCTCATTCTCTCTTTCTCTCATTCTCTCTCTCATTCTCTCTCTCTCATTCTCTTTCTCTCTCATTCTCTTTCTCTCTCATTCTCTTTCTCTCTCATTCTCTTTCTCTCTCTCTCTCTCTCATTCTCTCTCTCCTCTCTCTCTCTTTCTCTCTCATTCTCTCTCTCTCATTCTCTCTCTCTCATTCTCTCTCTCTCATTCTCTCTCTCTCATTCTCTCTCTCTCATTCTCTCTCTCATTCTCTCTCTCTCATTCTCTCTCTCTCATTCTCTCTCTCTCATTCTCTCTCTCTCATTCTCTCTCTCTCATTCTCTCTCTCTCATTCTCTCTCTCTCATTCTCTCTCTCTCATTCTCTCATTCTCTCTCTCTCTCTCTCTCTCTCTCTCTCTCTCTCTCTCTCTCTCTCTCTCTCTCTCTCTCTCTCTCTCTCTCTCTCTCTCTCTCTCTCTCTCTCTCTCTCTCTCTCTCTCTCTCTCGTGTGTGACTAAAGATCCTTCTCCCATCACGTTTGAAAAAATTAACAGGAGTTTCTCCCCTTCTCGTCTCCCTCACCCCCGCTCTGACTCCCATCATCCTCCCTCCTACATCTTCCCCTCTCCCCTTGTCCCTCTCCCTCTCCCCCTCCTTGGCTCTTCCTCCTCCTCCCCCAAGGTAGACCGAGACGGCGCTCATGTACGACGCGGTGAAGCTCTTCGTGCTGGCCATCAAGGCCCTGGACAGCTCTACGGACGTGCAGATGACGCAGCTGGTGTGCGAGGGGGAGGACGCCTGGGTCCACGGCAACTCTCTCATCAACTACATGAAGCTGGTGAGTCCTCTTCTAGTCGCCGTGGCTCCCTCAGGGTAGGTGGGTGGGTGTCTGGGGGACGCCACAACGCTGGCTCAAGGCACGCCATTGCTTCAAAATTATTTATTTATTTATTTTCGTTTTAATTTTGCCCGGAAGGGCAAGTGTATTGGGCAGCACCACTCATCCTGTGAGTGGACACACCGCCATAGTGACAGTATTGGGCAGCGTCACTCATCCTGTGAGTGGACACACCGCCATAGTGACAGTATTGGGCAGCGTCACTCATCCTGTGAGTGGACACACCGCCATAGTGACAGTATTGGGCAGCACCACTCATCCTGTGAGTGGACACACCGCCATAGTGACAGTATTGGGCAGCGCCACTCATCCTGTGAGTGGACACACCGCCATAGTGGCAGTATTGGGCAGCGCCACTCATCCTGTGAGTGGACACACCGCCATAGTGACAGTATTGGGCAGCGCCACTCATCCTGTGAGTGGACACACCGCCATAGTGACAGTATTGGGCAGCGCCACTCATCCTGTGAGTGGACACACCGCCATAGCAGCATGTACAACACTCCCCAATTGGAAGAAAACCCGCTGGGCTGTTCATCCTGTATGATTTTTTGTTGATTCATCGCCCCCTTGTGATTTCATTGTGATACGAGACGCTGGTGAGAAGAGACAAGGTGGACAAGACGGCTTGTTAAATTGGAGGAAAGTAGAACAAGAGGATGTTGGTAGATGCTGGTAATGCAAATGAGTCGGACAAATGTCAGGAAGGACTCGTTTGTTGTTGTCTATCCTGTACACTGTTGTCTACCCTGTACACTGTTGTCTACCCTGTACACTGTTGTCTACCCTGTACACTGTAGTCTACCCTGTACACAGTAGTCTACCCTGTACGCTGTAGTCTACCCTGTACGCTGTAGTCTACCCTGTACGCTGTAGTCTACCCTGTACGCTGTTGTCTACCCTGTACACTGTTGTCTACCCTGTACACTGTTGTCTACCCTGTACACTGTTGTCTACCCTGTACACTGTTGTCTACCCTGTACACTGTTGTCTACCCTGTACACTGTTGTCTACCCTGTACACTGTAGTCTACCCTGTACACAGTAGTCTACCCTGTACGCTGTAGTCTACCCTGTACGCTGTAGTCTACCCTGTACGCTGTAGTCTACCCTGTACACTGTTGTCTACCCTGTACACTGTTGTCTACCCTGTACACTGTTGTCTACCCTGTACGCTGTAGTCTACCCTGTACACTGTTGTCTACCCTGTACACTGTTGTCTACCCTGTACACTGTTGTCTACCCTGTACGCTGTAGTCTACCCTGTACACTGTTGTCTACCCTGTACACTGTTGTCTACCCTGTACACTGTTGTCTACCCTGTACACTGTTGTCTACCCTGTACACTGTTGTCTACCCTGTACGCTGTAGTCTACCCTGTACACTGTTGTCTACCCTGTACACTGTTGTCTACCCTGTACGCTGTAGTCTACCCTGTACGCTGTAGTCTACCCTGTACACTGTTGTCTACCCTGTACACTGTTGTCTACCCTGTACACTGTTGTCTACCCTGTACGCTGTAGTCTACCCTACTGTACACTGTAGTCTACCCTGTACGCTGTAGTCTACCCTGTACGCTGTAGTCTACCCTACTGTATGCTGTAGTCTACCCTACTGTACGCTGTACTCTACCCTACTGTACGCTGTAGTCTACCCTACTGTACGCTGTAGTCTACCCTACTGTACGTTGTAGTGTACTGTTGTACAGTCTACCCTGTACGCTGTAGTCTACCCTGTACGCTGTAGTCTACTGTTGTCTACCCTGTACGCTGTAGTCTACCCTACTGTACGCTGTAGTCTACCCTGTACGCTGTAGTGTACGCTGTAGTCTACCCTACTGTACGCTGTAGTCTACCCTACTGTACGCTGTAGTCTACCCTACTGTACACTGTAGTCTACCATGCTGTACGCTGTAGTCTACCCTACTGTACGCTGTAGTCTACCCTACTGTAGTCTACCCTACTGTACACTGTAGTCTACTGTACTGTAGTCTACCACTGTGCTGTACTGTACACTGTAGTCTACCATGCTGTACGCTGTAGTCTACCCTACTGTACGCTGTAGTCTACCCTACTGTACACTGTAGTCTACTGTACGCTGTAGTCTACCCTACTGTACACTGTAGTACTGTACGCTGTAGTCTACCCTACTGTACACTGTAGTCTACCATGCTGTACGCTGTAGTCTACCCTACTGTACGCTGTAGTCTACCCTACTGTACGCTGTAGTCTACCCTACTGTACGCTGTAGTCGACCCTACTGTACACTAGTCTACCATGCTGTACGCTGTAGTCTACCCTACTGTACGCTGTAGTCTACCCTACTGTACACTGTAGTCTACCATGCTGTACGCTGTAGTCTACCCTACTGTACACTGTAGTCTACCCTACTGTACGCTGTAGTCTACCCTACTGTACACTGTAGTCTACCATGCTGTACGCTGTAGTCTACCCTACTGTACGCTGTAGTCTACCCTACTGTACGCTGTAGTCTACCCTACTGTACGCTGTAGTCGACCCTACTGTACACTGTAGTCTACCATACTGTACGCTGTAGTCTACCCTACTGTACGCTGTAGTCTACCCTACTGTACGCTGTAGTCTACCCTGGCGTACGCTGTAGTCTACCCTACTGTACGCTGTAGTCTACCATGCTGTATGCTGTAGTCTACCCTACTGTACGCTGTAGTCTACCATGCTGTACGCTGTAGTCTACCCTACTGTACGCTGTAGTCTACCCTACTGTACGCTGTAGTCTACCCTACTGTACGCTGTAGTCTACCCTACTGTACGCTGTAGTCTACCCTACTGTACGCTGTAGTCTACCCTACTGTACGCTGTAGTCTACCATGCTGTACGCTGTAGTCTACCATGCTGTACGCTGTAGTCTACCCTACTGTACGCTGTAGTCTACCCTACTGTACACTGTAGTCTACCCTACTGTACACTGTAGTCTACCCTACTGTACGCTGTAGTCTACTGTAGTCTACCCTACCTGTAGTCTACCCTACTGTACGCTGTAGTCTACCCTACTGTACGCTGTAGTCTACCCTACTGTACGCTGTAGTCTACCCTACTGTACGCTGTAGTCTACCCTACTGTACGCTGTAGTCTACCCTACTGTACGCTGTAGTCTACCCTACTGTACACTGTAGTCTACCATGCTGTACACTGTAGTCTACCCTACTGTACACTGTAGTCTACCCTACTGTACGCTGTAGTCTACCCTACTGTACACTGTAGTCTACCATGCTGTACACTGTAGTCTACCCTACTGTACGCTGTAGTCTACCCTACTGTACGCTGTAGTCTACCCTACTGTACGCTGTAGTCTACCCTACTGTACGCTGTAGTCTACCCTACTGTACGCTGTAGTCTACCCTACTGTACGCTGTAGTCTACCCTACTGTACGCTGTAGTCTACCCTACTGTACGCTGTAGTCTACCCTACTGTACGCTGTTGTCTACCCTACTGTACGCTGTAGTCTACCCTACTGTACGCTGTAGTCTACCCTACTGTACGCTGTAGTCTACCCTACTGTACGCTGTAGTCTACCCTACTGTACGCTGTAGTCTACCCTACTGTACGCTGTAGTCTACCCTACTCCGAAAGTTTGCCCGAAACGCTTTGCGTAATAGTGGCTTTAGGCATTGTATGTACTAGCTCTATCTATAAAGCCAACAAACTTTGTAAAATCTCTTTATGTATGTACCTTTGCCTAAATAAAGATTATTATTATTATTATTATTATTATTACTGTACGCTGTAGTCTACCCTACTGTACGCTGTAGTCTACCCTGGCGTACGCTGTAGTCTACCCTGGCGTACGCTGTAGTCTACCCTGGCGTACGCTGTAGTCTACCCTGGCGTACGCTGTAGTCTACCCTGGCGTACGCTGTAGTCTACCCTGGCGTACGCTGTAGTCTACCCTGGCGTACGCTGTAGTCTACCATGCTGTACGCTGTAGTCTACCCTGGCGTACGCTGTAGTCTACCCTGGCGTACGCTGTAGTCTACCCTGGCGTACGCTGTAGTCTACCCTGGCGTACGCTGTAGTCTACCCTGGCGTATGCTGTAGTCTACAAGTGGAACGTGCTCAAGGAACAAGTTGCGGAAATCACTCTTATGCAAGCACTTAAGATGTGCTTAGAGGCTCGAGCTCGGTTCCTGGGCCCGCCTTTCTAGCGTTCTTAGATTTACACAATGACTCTGTTCCCACTGATTAGTATATTTATATTGAACGGTGGGTAAGTCTCTTGTGTGAAAGCGTGTGTGGGAGGGAGTGTGTGTGGGGGGGGGGGGAAGAGTCTCTGTGTACATGCATGTGTGGGAGCGTCGGGAGTGTGCTGGTGTGTGGGAGCGTGGGGAGTGTGCTGGTGTGTGGGAGCGTGGGGAGTGTGCGGAGTGTGAAGGGAATGTACAGGTGTATGGGAGTGTAGAGCGAGAGGAGCTGTAACCTGTCCACCTCCCGCAGGAGAAGCTACAGGGACTGACGGGCCACATAGAGTTCGACGCCCTGGGCTTCCGGACGGACTTCACCCTCGATATTGTTGAGTTAGGCATGCAGAACCTCACTAAGGTACGTTTTCTCTTTCTCTCTCCCTCCCTCGTCCTTCCTTCCTTCCTTCCCATCACTTCATCCCCTTCCATCATCCACACGTTCTCCTTCCCTCCCTCCTTCTCTTTCTTCCATTCTTTCTTCCTTCTCTTACACTCCTTTCTTTACTTCCTTTTTTCCTTACATTTTTCTTATTGTTTAAAGGGTTTTTCTTATTTTATTTCTTCTTGGGTACTTGTGTTTGTGGTGGTGTGTGTCTTGTGTTTGTGGTGATGTGTGTCTTGTGTTTGTGGTGATGTGTGTCTTGTGTTTGTGGTGATGTGTGTCTTGTGTTTGTGGTGGTGTGTCTTGTGTTTGTGGTGGTGTGTGTCTTGTGTTTGTGGTGGTGTGTGTCTTGTGTTTGTGGTGATGTGTGTCTTGTGTTTGTGGTGGTGTGTGTCTTGTGTTTGTGGTGGTGTGTGTCTTGTGTTTGTGGTGGTGTGTGTCTTGTGTTTGTGGTGGTGTGTGTCTTGTGTTTGTGGTGGTGTGTGTCTTGTGTTTGTGGTGGTGTGTGTCTTGTGTTTGTGGTGGTGTGTGTCTTGTGTTTGTGGTGATGTGTGTCTTGTGTTTGTGGTGGTGTGTCTTGTGTTTGTGGTGATGTGGGTCTTGTGTTTGTGGTGATGTGGGTCTTGTGTTTGTGGTGGTGTGTGTCTTGTGTTTGTGGTGGTGTGTGTCTTGTGTTTGTGGTGGTGTGTGTCTTGTGTTTGTGGTGGTGTGTGTTGTGTTTGTGGTGGTGTGTGTCTCGTGTTTGTGGTGGTGTGTGTCTTGTGTTTGTGGTGGTGTGTGTGTTGTGTTTGTGGTGTGTCTTGTGTTTGTGGTGATGTGTGTCTTGTGTTTGTGGTGTGTCTTGTGTTTGTGGTGGTGTGTGTTGTGTTTGTGGTGATGTGTGTCTTGTGTTTGTGGTGGTGTGTGTCTTGTGTTTGTGGTGGTGTGTGTCTTGTGTTTGTGGTGGTGTGTGTCTTGTGTTTGTGGTGTGTCTTGTGTTTGTGGTGATGTGTCTTGTGTTTGTGGTGGTGTGTGTCTTGTGTTTGTGGTGGTGCGTGTTGTGTTTGTGGTGATGTCTTGTGTTTGTGGTGGTGTGTGTCTTGTGTTTGTGGTGGTGTGTGTGTTGTGTTTGTGGTGGTGGTGTGTGTGTTGTGTTTGTGGTGGTGTGTGTGTTGTGTTTGTGGTGGTGTGTGTGTTGTGATTGTGGTGGTGTGTGTGTTGTGTTTGTGGTGGTGTGTGTGTTGTGTTTGTGTTTGTGGTGGTGTGTGTCTTGTGTTTGTGGTGGTGTGTGTCTTGTGTTTGTGGTGATGTGTCTTGTGTTTGTGGAGATGTGTGTCTTGTGTTTGTGGTGATGTGTGTCTTGTGTTTGTGGTGATGTCTTGTGTTTGTGGTGGTGTGTGTCTTGTGTTTGTGGCGTGTCTTGTGTTTGTTTGTGGTGTGTCTTGTGTTTGTGGTGGTGTGTGTCTTGTGTTTGTGGTGGTGTGTGTCTTGTGTTTGTGGTGGTGTGTGTCTTGTGTTTGTGGTGGTGTGTGTCTTGTGTTTGTGGTGGTGTGTGTCTTGTGTTTGTGATGGTGTGTGTCTTGTGTTTGTGGTGGTGTGTGTGTTGTGTTTGTGGTGATGTGTGTCTTGTGTTTGTGGTGGTGTGTGTCTTGTGTTTGTGGTGTGTCTTGTGTTGTGTTTGTGGTGTGTCTTGTGTTTGTGGTGATGTGTGTCTTGTGTTTGTGGTGGTGTGTGTCTTGTGTTTGTGGTGGTGTGATTCTTGTGTTTGTGGTGGTGTGTGTCTTGTGTTTGTGGTGTGTCTTGTGTTTGTGGTGGTGTGTCTTGTGTTTGTGGTGGTGTGTGTCTTGTGTTTGTGGGGGTGTGTGTTTTGTGTTTGTGGTGGTGTGATTCTTGTATTTGTGGTGGTGTGTGTCTTGTGTTTGTGGTGTGTCTTGTGTTTGTGGTGATGTGTGTCTTGTGTTTGTGGTGGTGTGTGTCTTGTGTTTGTGGTGGTGTGTGTGTTGTGTTTGTGGTGATGTCTTGTGTTTGTGGTGGTGTGTGTCTTGTGTTTGTGGTGGTGTGTGTCTTGTGTTTGTGGTGGTATGTGTGTTGTGTTTGTGGTGGTGTGTGTCATGTGTTTGTGGTGATGTGTGTCTTGTGTTTGTGGTGGTGTGTGTGTTGTGTTTGTGGTGGTGTGTGTCTTGTGTTTGTGGTGATGTGTGTCATGTGTTTGTGGTGATGTGTGTCTTGTGTTTGTGGTGATGTGTGTCTTGTGTTTGTGGTGGTGTGTGTCTTGTGTTTGTGGTGGTGTGTGTCTTGTGTTTGTGGTGGTGTGTGTCTTGTGTTTGTGGTGGTGTGTGTGTTGTGTTTGTGGTGTGTCTTGTGTTTGTGGTGATGTGTGTCTTGTGTTTGTGGTGTGTCTTGTGTTTGTTTGTGGTGTGTCTTGTGTTTGTGGTGGTGTGTGTGTTGTGTTTGTGGTGATGTGTGTCTTGTGTTTGTGGTGGTGTGTGTCTTGTGTTTGTGGTGGTGTGTGTCTTGTGTTTGTGGTGGTGTGTGTCTTGTGTTTGTGGTGTGTCTTGTGTTTGTGGTGGTGTGTGTCTTGTGTTTGTGGTGGTGTGTGTTGTGTTTGTGGTGATGTCTTGTGTTTGTGGTGGTGTGTGTTGTGTTTGTGGTGATGTCTTGTGTTTGTGGTGGTGTGTCTTGTGTTTGTGGTGGTGTGTGTGTTGTGTTTGTGGTGGTGTGTGTGTTGTGTTTGTGGTGGTGTGTGTGTTGTGTTTGTGGTGGTGTGTGTCTTGTGTTTGTGGTGATGTGTCTTGTGTTTGTGGTGATGTGTGTCTTGTGTTTGTGGTGATGTCTTGTGTTTGTGGTGGTGTGTGTCTTGTGTTTGTGGTGGTGTGTGTCTTGTGTTTGTGGTGATGTGTGTCTTGTGTTTGTGGTGATGTGTGTCTTGTGTTTGTGGTGATGTCTTGTGTTTGTGGTGATGTGTGTCTTGTGTTTGTGGTGGTGTGTGTCTTGTGTTTGTGGTGGTGTGTGTCTTGTGTTTGTGGTGGTGTGTGTCTTGTGTTTGTGGTGGTGTGTGTCTTGTGTTTGTGGTGATGTGTGTCTTGTGTTTGTGGTGGTGTGTGTCTTGTGTTTGTGGTGGTGTGTGTCTTGTGTTTGTGGTGGTGTGTGTCTCGTGTTTGTGGTGGTGTGATTCTTGTGTTTGTGGTGGTGTGTGTCTTGTGTTTGTGGTGATGTGTGTCTTGTGTTTGTGGTGGTGTGTGTCTTGTGTTTGTGGTGGTGTGATTCTTGTGTTTGTGGTGGTGTGTGTCTTGTGTTTATGGTGTGTCTTGTGTTTGTGGTGGTGTGTCTTGTGTTTGTGGTGGTGTGTGTCTTGTGTTTGTGGTGGTGTGTGTCTTGTGTTTGTGGTGGTGTGATTCTTGTGTTTGTGGTGGTGTGTGTCTCGTGTTTGTGGTGGTGTGATTCTTGTGTTTGTGGTGGTGTGTGTCTTGTGTTTGTGGTGATGTGTGTCTTGTGTTTGTGGTGGTTTGTGTCTTGTGTTTGTGGTGGTGTGATTCTTGTGTTTGTGGTGGTGTGTGTCTTGTGTTTGTGGTGTGTCTTGTGTTTGTGGTGGTGTGTCTTGTGTTTGTGGTGGTGTGTGTCTTGTGTTTGTGGTGGTGTGATTCTTGTGTTTGTGGTGGTGTGTGTCTTGTGTTTGTGGTGATGTGTGTCATGTGTTTGTGGTGATGTGTGTCTTGTGTTTGTGGTGGTGTGTGTCTTGTGTTTGTGGTGGTGTGTGTCTTGTGTTTGTGGTGGTGTGTGTCTTGTGTTTGTGGTGGTGTGTGTCTTGTGTTTGTGGTGGTGTGTGTCTTGTGTTTGTGGTGGTGTGTGTGTTGTGTTTGTGGTGGTGTGTGTGTTGTGTTTGTGGTGGTGTGTGTCATGTGTTTGTGGTGATGTGTGTCTTGTGTTTGTGGTGGTGTGTGTGTTGTGTTTGTGGTGGTGTGTGTCTTGTGTTTGTGGTGATGTGTGTCATGTGTTTGTGGTGATGTGTGTCTTGTGTTTGTGGTGGTGTGTGTGTTGTGTTTGTGGTGGTGCGTGTCTTGTGTTTGTGGTGATGTGTGTCATGTGTTTGTGGTGATGTGTGTCTTGTGTTTGTGGTGATGTGTGTCTTGTGTTTGTGGTGGTGTGTGTCTCGTGTTTGTTGTGATGTGTGTCATGTGTTTGTGGTGGTGTGTGTCTCGTGTTTGTTGTGATGTGTGTCTTGTGTTTGTGGTGGTGTGTGTCTTGTGTTTGTGGTGATGTGTGTCTCGTGTTTGTGGTGATGTGTGTCTTGTGTTTGTGGTGATGTGTGTGTTGTGTTTGTGGTGTGTGTCTTGTGTTTGTGGTGGTGGTGATGTGTCTTGTGTTTGTGGTGATGTGTGTGTCTTGTGTTTGTGGTGATGTCTTGTGTTTGTGGTGGTGTGTGTGTTGTGTTTGTGGTGGTGTGTGTGTTGTGTTTGTGGTGGTGTGTGTGTTGTGTTTGTGGTGATGTGTGTGTTGTGTTTGTGGTGATGTGTCTCTTGTGTTTGTGGTGATGTGTCTCTTGTGTTTGTGGTGATGTGTCTCTTGTGTTTGTGGTGATGTGTCTTGTGTTTGTGGTGATGTGTGTGTTGTGTTTGTGGTGATGTGTGTGTTGTTTGTGGTGGTGTGTGTCTTGTGTTTGTGGTGATGTGTGTCTTGTGTTTGTGGTGGTGTGTGTCTTGTGTTTGTGGTGGTGTGTGTCTTGTGTTTGTGGTGGTGTGTGTCTTGTGTTTGTGGTGGTGTCTTGTGTTTGTGGTGGTGTGTGTCTTGTGTTTGTGGTGATGTGTATCTTGTGTTTGTGGTGGTGTGTGTCTTGTGTTTGTGGTGGTGTGTATCTTGTGTTTGTGGTGATGTGTGTCTTGTGTTTGTGGTGATGTGTATCTTGTGTTTGTGGTGGTGTGTGTCTTGTGTTTGTGGTGGTGTGTATCTTGTGTTTGTGGTGATGTGTGTCTTGTGTTTGTGGTGGTGTGTGTCTTGTGTTTGTGGTGGTGTGTGTCTTGTGTTTGTGGTGGTGTGTGTCTTGTGTTTGTGTTGATGTGGATCTTGTGTTTGTGGTGGTGTGTGTCTTGTGTTTGTGGTGATGTGTGTCTTGTGTTTGTGGTGATGTGTATCTTGTGTTTGTGGTGGTGTGTGTCTTGTGTTTGTGGTGATGTGTGTCTTGTGTTTGTGGTGATGTGTGTCTTGTGTTTGTGGTGGTGTGTGTCTTGTGTTTGTGGTGGTGTGTCTTGTGTTTGTGGTGATGTGTATCTTGTGTTTGTGGTGGTGTGTGTCTTGTGTTTGTGGTGGTGTGTGTCTTGTGTTTGTGGTGATGTGTGTGTCTTGTGTTTGTGGTGATGTGTGTCTTGTGTTTGTGGTGGTGTGTGTCTTGTGTTTGTGGTGGTGTGTGTCTTGTGTTTGTGGTGGTGTATGTCTTGTGTTTGTGGTGATGTGTGTCTTGTGCTTGTGGTGTTGTGTGTCTTGTGTTTGTGGTGGTGTGTGTGTTGTGTTTGTGGTGGTGTGTGTCTTGTGTTTGTGGTGATGTGTGTGTCTTGTGTTTGTGGTGATGTGTGTCTTGTGTTTGTGGTGGTGTGTGTCTTGTGTTTGTGGTGGTGTGTGTCTTGTGTTTGTGGTGGTGTGTGTCTTGTGTTTGTGGTGATGTGTGTCTTGTGTTTGTGGTGATGTGTATCTTGTGTTTGTGGTGGTGTGTGTCTTGTGTTTGTGGTGGTGATGTCTTGTGTTTGTGGTGGTGTGTGTCTTCTGATGTGCCAATCTTCTAACTCCCCCCCCCCCTACTTTTCACCCACTTCCCATCCCCCCCATATCTCCCTCCCCCCCCCCCCTGCACTACTGAACAAAAACATGAAATATTATAATTAAGAGCCCCAAGTAGCCATAGTGTGGCTGTGTGGTGCCTTACTAACCACACTAACTAGTACTAGCCATACTAACCCCTAACCCCCTCCCCTCCCCCCCTCTCCCACAGTCTAGCCAGGTCATCAAAGTAAGTACTTACCTCTTTCATCAAACTAGGTAATTAGATGCCTATGGTGGTAGTTAGAGAGTCGTTAGCGGTACTTGGAGGGGTTTAATGGTAGTTGGCTGATTGTTAAGTGGTGGTTAGGAAGATTTTAATTGTGTAGGATTCTTTGTGTGTGTTTTAACAGATCTTAAGTGGTATTTACGGGGTGCTTAGAGTGTGGCCTATAGTGGTGGTGTGGTGGTGGTGGCGGTGGTCTGGTGGTGGTGGTAGTGAGGTGGTGGTGGTGAGTATTGGTAGTGTGAGGTGTCTGGTCGAGTTGGTGGCAAATCTGTGAGCTTTGCTTCATGGTTTTGTCTCATTATATATACCATGACAATGTGCATATCACGCACTAAGTAGTACTCACAACTAGGTGAGTACCCCCGCCCCGACCTTCCCCAGAGAGTGCACCCCTCCTCCCCCAGTAGGCAGGAGGGGAGGGGGTTTGGGGTGGGGGGGGGGAGTGTGCACCCCCAGCAGCAGGAGGGGAGGGGGTGTGGGGTGGGGGGGAGTGTGCCCCCCCCCCCCCCCCGCTGCATGCAGGATGGGAGGGGAGTGTGGGCCCCCCCCCCCCAGCATGCAGGAGGGGTGGGGGAGTGTGGCCCCAGCGGGTACTAAAGTGTCATGTCTGCCTCAGGTGGGGACGTGGAACAAGAAGACCGGCGCCAATTACACCAGGACCTACCAGGAGACCCTCAAGAGAGGCGCCTTTGGTCTCCAGAACAGGACCCTCACCGTCTCCTTCGCCTACGTGAGTTATTATCTCTTGTCTTCGTTCCTCCTTCGTCTCCAGTTATTGTCTTGGTTCCTTTGTGTATGTGAGTTGTTTTTAAATTTAAATTTTGCCCCGAGGGGCGAGTTTATTGGGCAGCGCCACTCATCTTGTGAGTGGACACACCGCCATAGTGACAGTATTGGGCAGCGCCACTCATCTTGTGAGTGGACACACCGCCATAGCAGAATGTACAACACTCCCCAATAGGAAGAAAACCCGCTGGGTTGTTCATCCTGTCACTTGTACCCAGACACAGCTGGGACTTGCTTAACTGTCTCAAGTGAACAGCTCCTCAAACAAGAAGATTAACATTTATCAACCCTTAAAAGCTTACGTTATCTTGCGGGTGCAAAATGGGGAAATCTTTTAAGAACAGTATCAATATTTGACAAATAGTGTTTTCCTAACTCAAACAATGTGGGGTTTATTATTCTACAGTTATTCCTAATGTCTCTCAGGTGTTCACATTCACGTAGATAGTGGTCAAGGCGGTGTCCATCACTCTCACCACAGATTCTGCAACTTCGCTGATCAACTGTTGTTTCCATTCCAAATCTCCATGGATATTTGTATCCAAGACGGATTCTCGCTATTACAGATTCTCTCACTCGTCGTCCTCCTCTTCGGCCATACTGATTGGGATTGCCAGCTGCAACCATGTTGTACCATCGTACAGATTCACTGGTTTGTGCTTCTATCCTCCTTTCCTCAGTTACCTTGTCACGGTGATGTTGCCTGATAATACCTCTAATTTGTAGTTGAGTCTTGGGTATGAAGTATTCAATATGGTCTCCTTCAGCGCCTTCAGCAGCCAGCACATCTGCTCGTTCATTCCCACATATTCCAACATGGGAGGGGATCCACAGAAACTTGATGACTCTTCCCTGATTGGTAAGTACTCTCACAGCTCTCTTGATTTCAGCGACTATTGCAAGATTTTCTGCCTGATTTTTACTTAGGCTTTGCAGTGCTGCTTTTGAATCGGTGCAAATCACTGCACCATTAGTGTTCCGTTCAAGAAACCTTAACGCCATAACAATGGCAGTTAGCTCTGCTTGCGTTGAAGAGGCATAGTTCTCAATACGTGCTTTTTCTTCATTTCTGCGTTGGAAGGTATTATCCTTGATTACCGTGTATGCTGCACCAGCCCTGCCATTGATAGGATTAGATGACCCGTCAGTGTAGATTTGATCTAGTTCATCTCCGGCTTCTTTATAAATGTCCTCGAGATACTTGTGCCTCATTTCTTGTGGTATCATGTGGGATTTTTTCATTGCCATTTCATTGATGATGATCTTACATGAGTCATCCTCCCAGGGAGGTAACCTCTCTACAGGCAGGAGCTCACGGGCTTGCTCAAGCAGGTGAAGCTCTTCAAGGTAGCAGACTGCTCTGTGATGCCATTTTTTGCTTCTCCTGTTTCCCCCTGAAAGTAGCACAGAGCTCAGTTTTTTCTTGGCAATATCATTGTAATGGGGATCTCTGGCTATCCTAATTGCAAGCTTAGCATTCAGCTCCTGAATTCTGCTTTTAATACTGGGAAGGGACAACTCCTCTCGTAGATTAGACGTTTTGGCAGTTCTTGGGACTCCAAGAATGATTGTCATGGCTTCATTTTGAATGCTTTCAAGCCTTTTCATATCGCTTTGGGAGTAGGTGCACAGTACTGGTGCGGCATAGTCTATGACGGAGCGCACATGGGCTGTGTACATCATTTTGAGCACGGCAATAGAGGCTCCATGTCCATTCCAGGTCATAGCTTTCAGTGCCCTGAGTCGACTTTTGCATGTTCCTATGAGTTGATTGAGCTCCTCTTTCTTTCCCTTGTTAGAGCCGACAGTGACGCCAAGGTACCGGTAGTGGTCAACCCATTCAAGTGTTACACCATTAATTTGCAGTTCTTCATTTGCTCTCCGCTTGTGATGGGAGTATGCCTTCGTCTTGTTTGTGGAGAGAGTGAAACCGAGCTCAATACATTTCCTTCCGAGGAGTTCAATGGACTGTTCAATTTTTCCCAAGGTGGGAGCTTGTATTAGGACATCATCTGCATATCCCAATTGTTATCAACGTGTAGTCTGGAGTCCTCCTTCGTCTGTGGAGTGGTCTCCTGAGGGTTGGTGTGGGGTTCTGTTTCCTTGCTGCTATTGCAAGCAATGTTAACAGTCTGCATGTGGCAGATTGCTGGCTAAATGCTTGCAACATCCAGCAACTACCAGACCATTGGGTGTTCACCAGGTCACTAGTCACACTATGGACGGTAGAGCGACGGTAGAGCTTCATGCAGGTCGGCGTTCAATCCCCGACCGTCCAAGTGGTTGGGCACCATTCCTTCCCCCTGAGAATGTTACCCTACTTGACCTATATCTTGACCTATACTGCCACGTTGTAGCACAGTCTGTGGCTGACCTCCCTGGCCACAGTGCTACCATATGATTGGTCTCGTCTTAGCCAATCACAACTGGGCACACGACAACCATCTTGTAACAACCTTGCAGGGGGAATTAGGCCTTCACATATACATTGCACCAGCCAGTAGGTCTATTTCCCATCAATCCGTACCCCCATGATGCACTGTAGTGTACCCCCATGATGCACTGTAGTGTACCCCCATGATGCACTGTAGTGTACCCCCATGATGCACTGTAGTGTACCCCCATGATGCACTGTAGTGTACCCCCATGATGCACTGTAGTGTACCCCCATGATGCACTGTAGTGTACCCCCATGATGCACTGTAGTGTACCCCCATGATGCACTGTAGTGTACCCCCATGATGCACTGTAGTGTACCCCCATGATGCACTGTAGTGTACCCCCATGATGCACTGTAGTGTACCCCCATGATGCACTGTAGTGTACCCCCATGATGCACTGTAGTGTACCCCCATGATGCACTGTAGTGTACCCCCATGATGCACTGTAGTGTACCCCCATGATGCACTGTAGTGTACCCCCATGATGCACTGTAGTGTACCCCCATGATGCACTGTAGTACACCCCCATGATGCACTGTAGTGTACCCCCATGATGCACTGTAGTGTTCCCCCATGATGCACTGTAGTGTTCCCCCATGATGCACTGTACCCCCATGATGCACTGTAGTGTACCCCATGATGCACTGTAGTGTACCCCCATGATGTACTGTAGTGTACCCCCCATGATGCACTGTAGTGTTCCCCATGATGCACTGTAGTGTACCCCCATGATGCACTGTAGTGTACCCCCATGATGCACTGTAGTGTACCCCATGATGCACTGTAGTGTACCCCCATGATGCACTGTAGTGTACCCCCATGATGCACTGTAGTGTACCCCATGATGCACTGTAGTGTACCCCCATGATGCACTGTAGTGTACCCCCATGATGCACTGTAGTGTACCCCCATGATGCACTGTAGTGTACCCCCATGATGCACTGTAGTGTTCCCTCATGATGCACTGTACCCCCATGATGCACTGTAGTGTACCCCATGATGCACTGTAGTGTACCCCCATGATGCACTGTAGTGTACCCCCATGATGTACTGTAGTGTACCCCCATGATGTACTGTAGTGTACCCCCATGATGCACTGTAGTGTACCCCCATGATGCACTGTAGTGTACCCACATGATGCACTGTAGTGTACCCCCATGATGCACTGTAGTGTACCCCCATGATGCACTGTAGTGTACCCCCATGATGTACTGTAGTGTACCCCCATGATGCACTGTAGTGTACCCCCATGATGCACTGTAGTGTACCCCCATGATGCACTGTAGTGTACCCCCATGATGCACTGTAGTGTTCCCTCATGATGCACTGTACCCCCATGATGCACTGTAGTGTACCCCATGATGCACTGTAGTGTACCCCCATGATGCACTGTAGTGTACCCCCATGATGCACTGTGGTGTACCCCCATGATGTACTGTATTGTACCCCCATGATGCACTGTAGTGTACCCCCATGATGTACTGTAGTGTACCCCATGATGCACTGTAGTGTACCCCCATGATGCACTGTAGTGTACCCCCCATGATGCACTGTAGTGTACCCCCCATGATGCACTGTAGTGTACCCCCATGATGCACTGTAGTGTACCCCCCATGATGCACTGTAGTGTACCCCCATGATGCACTGTAGTGTACCCCCATGATGCACTGTAGTGTACCCCCATGATGCACTGTAGTGTACCCCCATGATGCACTGTAGTGTTCCCCCATGATGCACTGTAGTGTACCCCCCCATGATGCACTGTAGTGTATGCACCCCCCATGATGCACCCATGATGCACTGTGCACTGTGTGTACCCCCATGATGCACTGTACCCCCATGATGCACTGTAGTGTACCCCCATGATGCACTGTAGTGTACCCCCATGATGCACTGTATGTACCCCCATGATGCACTGTAGTGTACCCCCATGACTGTAGTGTACCCCATGATGCACTGTAGTGTACCCCCATGATGCACTGTAGTGTACCCCCATGATGCACTGTAGTGTACCCCCATGATGCACTGTAGTGTACCCCCATGATGCACTGTAGTGTACCCCCATGATGCACTGTAGTGTACCCCATGATGCACTGTAGTGTACCCCCATGATGCACTGTAGTGTACCCCCATGATGCACTGTAGTGTACCCCCATGATGCACTGTAGTGTACCCCCATGATGCACTGTAGTGTACCCCATGATGCACTGTAGTGTACCCCCATGATGCACTGTAGTGTACCCCCATGATGCACTGTAGTGTACCCCCATGATGCACTGTAGTGTACCCCATGATGCACTGTAGTGTACCCCCATGATGCACTGTAGTGTACCCCCATGATGCACTGTAGTGTACCCCATGATGCACTGTAGTGTACCCTCATGATGTACTGTAGTGTTCCCCCATGATGCACTGTAGTGTACCCCCCCATGATGCACTGTAGTGTACCCCCATGATGCACTGTAGTGTACCCCATGATGCACTGTAGTGTACCCCCATGATG